GGCCCTCAGCCAGGGTCAACCCACTACAATGGGGAGGGCAAAATATTACATCTAACAGAAATTACACTTCTGAGAGTCTGTTTTAACTGAACTGCACTGAACTTTATAGGGTAGAAATAAGGGAAAATAAGCTTTTGTTTTGAATCTGTGAGAGAAGACAGTTATCCAAAAATTGCCAATTAAAATTCTCATACTGTAACATGCAGTAGAGTGTGCTTTTATAGATAACTAAGTCAAAAGCCTTCATGTACTGCTTTTATCTGTGTTTGGATAGTGACAATCCAGTTTTCTTTCAAGATAGTTGTTCTTTTGTGGGTTTGGTGTTAGTTGGTTTTTTTCTTTCTGTGGTGACTTAATTTCCCAAATCAGAACACTTATTTTTTCACTTTGAGATACCTTCTGCTAAGGGTTATAATAATGTTAATATTTTATAGTTAATATTTGTTCTAGTATTGACTTTGCTTCTGTATTCTTCTTTTCTTTTGTTTATTTCAGCTGAGTTTTCAGCATAAGATTGGTATCCTTTACTGCAAAGCAGGCCAAAGCACAGAGGAAGAAATGTATAACAATGAGATGGCAGGACCAGCTTTTGAAGAGTTCCTTGATCTGCTGGGCCAGAGAGTACGGCTAAAAGGATTTAGTAAATACAGGGCTCAGCTAGATAATAAAAGTAAGTTATTTCTCAAACCTATGGTAGAAACTATTATTATCCAGTTGATCTTCTGCAAATCCCATTTTGTCTTTTCATGGTCTTGACTTTGGGTTTTGATTAGTAACATTATATGGTAAATGAGGAAGATGAAGTGTGTGATAAGAGCACGTATCACACCTTGTCTGAAAGGTTATTTACTTTTTCTGTGACATTAGTAAAACTGAAAATCAAAGCAACTTATTTAATTTGTTTGCACTTAGTTAAAATCATACTATCTGAGTGATATTCTTTATATATTTCAGAATTTCCCAACTACACTTTAACATCTTAATCCTTAAAAAGGCAAAAGAAAAGATACGTATTTCAATATATGGAGTCATGACAGGGGACCATTTTCCTTATTTCAACTCAACTTTTATGCTTTTTAATCAACATATATATTGATGTTTATATTTGAGGATCAATCAAGTTTTCTAGTTTCTCACACATGCACAATAAGCAGGTTATCATTTGGCAGTTGTTAAACATTCGTCTACCTAACTGCTGTATTATTACTACTGTTTTCTCAGGTCTTTCAGTTTCCCTAAGTGCAATAGTATAATAATTTAATTGTACAAATTTGTTCGGTTTTGTAGCAAAAATAGGAACTGAAGTATTGCTGTTGAAAAAGTCAATATGTTAACACACTTCTTTATTAGCACTGCTTTTCACTGCCTTAACTTTAACTTAACTCATTCTTAGTTTAATGTAGTTTTAACAGGATTTTGACTACTGATCACTGTGAATTGTGATCTAAGGATATCTAGGTATTCATCTACTTTATTGTAACATACTATTTTTATAGATATAAAGACTAGATATAAGGAAGAATTTTTTTACGACGAGGGTGGTGAGACACTGGAACAGGTTGCCCAGAGAGGTGGTAGATGCCCCATCCCTGGAAACATTCAAGGTCACATTGAATGGGGCTCTGAGCAACCCAATCTAGTTGAAGATGTCCCTGTTGAATGTAGGGGGTTTGGACTAGATGACCTTTAAAGTCTCTTCCAACCTAAACCATTCTATGCTGTGATTTGATTTATATCCTCATTTTTGCTATAGCTTGCCTATTTTATCCTGAAAACAGACTTTTTTTTAAAATGTACTGTGTGGCCTGTGAATAACAGAAAAGGAATATTTTTGTTAGCGAAGTACATATTTTTAAACTATTAAATCCTGCTACTTGTGTGCATATTCTACTTGCTCTTCTAATCAAACATGAAAGTTGCTCGAACTGTTAGAGATAAGCTGCCAAGAAGGAAGCTTAGAAAGATGTACTTAAAGGAAATTAAGGGAAGATTTCTGGCAAGGGATATTTTGTCTTTCAGATAGTTACTGAGATCTAGGAATCAATAAGTCCCTGTACTTGCTTCTCTGTTCCTCCTGCCACTTATCTACCTGATCCAGCCTGGTTCTTAGGAATCTCTTGCATGTTTTTGCTGCTTCAACACCAGTCCTCATTTAACTGGAATACATCTGGATTTTTTTTTTTTTAAATAGTACATTTGAACGCTGATCAGTGACATAGTCGTAGAAGGATTTCTCTTCTGTTATCAAACTGGTAGTGCCCTGGATGGACTGTCATCTCCTGTACGGCGTTAGGAGTGAGACTTAATGATTCATATTAGAAACTTTTGGAAATATCTAGTGCATGTACATTGTGGATGGTGCCCACTGCAGATAAACTCTCCATAGGACAATCTCCAGTGGGAAATGAGATATGCGAAGTTGGTGATAAAACCTCGTGCGTTTGCAATGAAGGGAGACCATCTTTGCAACTCAACAAATCTTTCACATTCTCCATCTCTAGTAGTGATGGGTAATGGTGAAAAAAGTGAGCTGAGTCCTATGACAGATTCTAATTTATGACTTACAAGGTGAGAAAGCTGCAGTTCCATAGCCCTGTCAACCTGTGTAAGCACCACATTTATTTTTATTAACATTATTGTCTCTCTGCTTAAATCCATGCTTGTGTCACTTTAATAATTCAGGCTTGATTGATAGAGACTATTGCATCCTATTTCAGTACAGAATAATAACTCATTTTTCAAATTAATGTGTAGAAATATTTATTAACACACTGTAGATGTCAGACTTCTGGGATGAATTGATAAATAGGGATGAAGAATTCAAAGGAGTACGAAGTGTTTTGGGTTTGCTATTTTTTTCCCCAATCAGAGCATGACCAAATATCACCTAGTAATTTTTACACATGAAAATATATGCTGATCTGTCAGCAAATTCAGTTTCTGTATTTGCTGTGCTTCAGTATGAATGTACATTGCTGATTGGCATTGTATACATATTGTTCAGTAACATAATTTTAATGTTTTACTAATGCTGTGTGCCATTAATGATATTGGCCTGTCATAATATGTTTTCATAGTTTACAACAATAGAATGCAATTAAGAAAGTTCACAAAGAAATAGTCTTCAGTTTTATAGTAAATGTAAAATACTGACTTAATTATAATCTTTTTTGTATTATATTTGGGTTTTTGATATAATGACACAAGTATTACTGCATGTCATATTTATAATTGGAAAGTACATTGATCTGACTGCTTTTAGGTTCAGAATACTGTAATAATTCCATCTCTAGTAGCTACATTTTCATTAGGCATAATGTTTCATAATATTTCTTGCTCAGTTTTTGTAGGGTTCACATTTATTAGGTATTTCTGTTCTCAAATGCTTTTCTAGTTGCGAATTTTTTCTTTTGAAAAGTTCTTTTTTTAAAATTTAGTCTGTTTATTTAATATTTTGATAAGAAATTAATTGGTCCATTTCTTATGGAATATGGAATGTTGGTTGGCAGGTAAACCCCCACCCACTTGCTTGCTCACTCGCCCCCCCAGTATGATGGGGGAGAAGATCAGAAGGGCAAAAGCAAGAAAAACTTGTGACTTGAGATTAAGTCAGTTCAATAAGTGGAAGATAGAAAGGAAAAAAACATACACCATCTGCCAAAAAAAAAGCCCAACAAAAACCCAACCCATGACCACAACAGCGAACCAACAAAAAACCCCACAAAAGCAAGTAATGCAAAGGCAATCACTTGCCACCTCCCATCAGCAGACTGATGCCCAGCCACTCTCTGAGCAACAGCTGTCACAGGAAAACTGCCCCTGCTCCAGTTTTACTGCAGAGCATGATGTTATATGGTATGGAATATTCAATTCAAGTCAGCAGTCCCACTTGTGTCCCCTCCCAAACCCTTGCCCACCCCTAGCATACTCCCCGGGGTCGGGGACGGTGTGAGAAACAGAGAAAGCCCTGATGCTGTGCAAGCACTATTCAGCAATTGCTAAAACCTTGGTGTTTTATCAACACAGCTTTGATCACATACAGAAAACACAGCACCATATGGGCTGCTATGAAGAAAATTAACTCCATCCAAGCCAGACCCCATGCAAACGTGGAGAACATGTGGAATATATTAACTATATGAACTCTCTTTTCTTCCCTTCTTTAGTGCATTTTTAATAGCACACAATTCTAAATCCCAAGATCAAGAAATAAGAAAATTAGAGGAAACTTTACCAATTCCACACTATATAATTTGTGTAATATATGTTTTAAAACATATCAGTCTACTAGAAATGAGGAATTAAAATTATTATTGTAACATTAATATTCTCATTTGTAATGCTCAGACTTTAATTATGGATTGAATTATGGATAAATTGGATTATGTTTGCATTTAATTTCCTTATACCTGTAAAGAGAGAAAGGAAGGTGAAAGAAATTGAGGAAACATTGCAATTTTATGTCTATAGAGGAATAGCGCTGCTTCACTTTCGTTTGATAAAAAGTGCTTTTCTGCAAAAAACTAGAAATGTTTCATAAAAGTTTAGCCATTTTTTGTCAACCTTTGTGAAATAAAACTAATGCTCAGAAGGGAATGAGGTGCAAAAGTGTCAGGCCAGATATCATTTTTTTCCCTAAAACCGTTGGCAGAGTAATGTTTGTGGTAGCAACCATTATGTACATTGAATCACAGTGGGCCTTAGTAGGTGTTCAGTAAAGCATCTGTTGAGTTAGAAGTTTTCAATTTGCTTAGTGTAAAGGACTAAATTTCAGAAGAAGAACTTGCTAGCTCATTTCCAAAGTCAAGGTGCTAAATCAAAAGTATTCAGCTAAATAGGATGTTGTATTAGGAAAGCATTGCTGTAAGGGTAAAGAATCCGCCTTTCTGTAATAAGTATTTAAAAGGACTGTTTTGTGCAATATCTGTTCAAGAGTTTTATTTTATTTGATATCTAATTGCAAAAGGAGTCAGGGAATAGGGTTGCTGAGATCAGTGTAGTTTAGGCAGATATTTGCATTTCACAATATAATTTATTTCATCCTCCTATCCCTTCAAAAGTCTGTTTTTCTAAAATACCACGGAAAGGTTATAATGGAATTATATTTTAAAATATAATTTTCAATATAATTTTCAATATAATTTTCAAAAACTATATTTAAAATAGAGGAATGCAAAAATGTTTGCTTTTAGCAGCTTTTAAGTAATAAGCTTCAGTGGAAATTATGCTCCCTATTTCTTATGTAACTG